CTTTATCCTATATACTATGTAATGCAACTATACTATCCGGAACCGGGTTTCACTCTTATCCGGTTTATAATGGGATTGGCTGGAAATATTTCACCGATCCAAATGATGCGGTTGGATTGGCCAGAGATCCAGCTCTCTACTCTACTCTATTCAGTGCAAAAACCGGACAGCACACTCCCAGGTCTCATTCTTCGATTTGCCGTGCAACGCCCACCCTTCTTCCACGCACTTAGGATGCCGCCGGTCCATTGCGCAGCGTACGTCTGCCGTTGAACTCACCCGAACGTGTGTGTTCTTTATGTCCCCATTCGGCGCGCTGCCTATCTTCTGAAGCACCTTCGTCGACCAGTGGAGTTTTGAGCGACTGGTTTTGCTGGGATTTCCGTTTGCATTTGGAAGTACCTTTGGACGTTGCGTGCTGTACGTCGATTCTGTCCGTTTCTTGTTGTGTGGGTGGATGTGCTTGTAGCCAATATTTTCGATCCGATTGGCCCAAGCGATATCCAAGCCATGAATACTAGTATGTACATATACACCATTGGTCGTTGGCCTTTCTCCTAGTCCTCTTTTACGCTCTTGCGTTTTGGCAGCCTTCGATTCCTAGTATGTACACTTGCACACTATTTTGGCACGGGATGTTGTTACCCTAGTACATTTGTACTTTGACCACCGTCGTGAGCGTTGCAATGGATCGCAAACCTTTAGTATGTACAGCAATCTCCTTGCTTGGGATGTTTTTCTCCTAGCCCTCCCTTCTTGTCGGTGCGCTGCCAAACCTTCAATCAGTATGTCGAGCGTCGATATGTGCTTCGTTCGTGTGTTTTCCTGTAGTTGGCATCCACGCCGCCATGTCCCCTTGCTCGGCTTTGCATTCGATGTGCCATTTGATGGTCGAAGTGCTTGGTTTGGTGGTATAGCAGCGTCCTCTTTTCGATCATGTTCCGTGTGTGAACTTCCGTAGCCATAACTGCGCTTGCCCATTGTGGTGGAATTCCTCGTGGCCCGATTGGCTTGTGATGGTCAGTACAAACGTTTTGGCGAATGGTGGTGTACTTTGTAGTCTTTCGCAGCCATCCATTTGACTTCGTTGGACGGAGTGTGTTTGCCTCCCCGGCCGTTTGTGTGTGGTTGTGGTCCTTGTAGCGTTGCCGCCGTGTCTACTGTACGCTTCCGCCATGGTGCTCGCCCTTCAGCCTATCTCTGACTTCATCGTGGTATGACTTGTTCGCAATCAGTCGTGTGTGGGCGTGCTTCTTCTAGACCTGTGACCTGCTGGCCCAACTCGTCCTCCTTGGTGTGAACCCTCGTCACGTGTTGTGGATGTGTTGCGTTCTCCGCCTGTGTGCCCATTTCGTTCCATTATATGTCTCCTCCAGAAGGTTTGATGCTCGCTTTTTCCCCTACTGCTGGCCATGGTGTGAGAAGTTGGGGCTGTTGCTGTTGCCTCGTGTTATCCTCATGCCTTTTTTGAATCATGCTTGTGCCTGCGGACTTGAACGCCTTGCCATCCTTATTTTTGTGCCTGCGGACTTGAGCGCCTTGCCATCCTTATTTTTGCCGAAACCCGAAAAACCCCAAAATCCATGCTGCCCTGGTGTCTTTAATTCCTGTCCACTTAGGACAGGTGCTGGGTGATGGCCTCATCACCCAGATCCCCAACCGACGGGAGGCCACGTTGTCGTCGTGGTTGGGCTTGTCACCAAGAGCCTCCCAAAACCATCGTAGCGTTTGTACCGAGTTAATCCCAAAACTTAATCCAAACGTTTACATTTCCCGATTCGAGTAGTACAATAAATATATACTTCGAAGTAGTACTGTACTCCGAGCATATATTACAGTTCAAAAATTCTTCTCGAGGGCTATTATTATACTACTATTAATAGTAGAAATACTACTAGTAGTAGGAATTTATTTCGGAGTACTACTGTACTAACTTACAGTTAGTACGGATTAATAGTACCACAGTATTGATAGTATTGTTTTGTGCCAATTATTAATACAATAAAAATATTTTTGTGTCATTGGAATTCTAACGACATGACCAAAACGACGGTGAAAGCGTTCGTGGTTGGGTCCACAAGTGTGGTTGTGCAAGAGGTAGTAGGATCGACTAGCATCGTAGTAGTAATACTAACACGCCAACCAAGGAACTGGGTCGGGTGGACGACAGTGGCGCGGGGCTCGGCATCGGATGGTACGTGTGGCCCTCGGCCATCAAGCTCGCGGCCTTCCTCGACCGCAACCGGCACTTGGTGCATGCCAAGCGGGTGCTCGAGCTCGGAGCTGGCACAGCGCTGCCAGGTCTACTGGCGGCAAAACTCTCAGCTGCACACGTGACACTGACAGACAAAGACGAGGCGGACTTATGCAATGCCAGGGACGCCGTTTTATTGAACCACATCCCGCCGTCCAAAGTGACGCTGGTACATGACAACATCCAAACGAGTTGTTGCTTCCAATGTGCAATGTAGACGCCACTCGTGTGGGGACAGGACTTTGCGGGTGGCTCCATCGACGTGATCTTGGCTGCCGATTGCTTTTACAACGCCCATGGTATTAACTAGTAGCACCTCCCAACTCCTCAACATGCCATCCATATATGTTGCAATGGTCGACGTAGATTTTGAAGACATCCTTGCGACCATGGCGTACGTGATCCGTCGCAATCCGCACTGTGTCGTGTACACGACCTACCAGCTTCGAAGGTACGAGTCCCACGGTGTATGTACATCTCTTATACGTAGTTAGTGCGCACTACACCATCCAACCCTACTTGGCACGGTGGAAGTTGCACGCCAAGGAGGTGCCATGTCCAGCCTCGGACGACGACGTCAGTGTCTTTTTGGTGGAAATACGGGGATGTTGACTATCGCAATCGTTTCAGTCGAGCAGGGGGGCCACGTGGGGGGTTCGGTGGCGATGGCTCATCATGTTTTCGTTTGGTGGTGGTCGGGTGGACTTGGGGAGGCGTGGGGTCGGCGCCCTTCAATGACACGGCCCTGTTGGATCGTCATTACGACCACACAGTCAAGGTACTCGTGGTTTGATGACGTACTTGATGTCGGCCGCCAGCAACGCCCCCCCCAGCACATCCAACTGGCCTTGCTGCTTGAGCTTGATCGCTTCCTCAATCAGCCGTCCGATTCTAGTGCCAAAGCGACGATAACACCCTTTAGATTATATCCCATCATTTACGTACTTGTTGTACACGACAAAATTGAGAAACTCGACGCATGCCTTGGTCATGGAGGGCAGGCCCAGCCAGTCCAGGAACGCCTTGGTGTGGCCCATAAAGTTGGTGCTGCGCTTCCTACCACGGGGTTCAAACGTGTTTGTGTGTGTTGGTTTTCTGTTTACTTGGAGAAATCCAAATATGTCGACGTATCCATGTCTTGGGTTCGTTTGTCGGCAAACTTCATCCGCTCCTAAGCCGCATCTGAGCCCTCGACAGCCACGTCAACGAACGACGTACCAAAAAGTACAGCTGAAACGCATTCAACTCCATGCTCTCGTACGATGCAAACATGTCGAGCTCGTCC